CTGGGGACCAGCGACCGGCCCCAGGTAGGAGAATGTTGCCAACCCCTGATCTAGGCACTACACTTTTATTGATGCAGCCTAGAATCACATTGGCCTTTTTACCTGTCACAATGCACAATGCGACTCTTGTTCAACCTGCAGTCTACCAGGACTTCTAGACTCTTTCGTGAATAGTCTTGTTAAGCCAGTTGCCCCCCATCCTATATCTATGCATTTCATTTTGCATTGCATTGCTTGCATTGCTCCCTGTTGAAATTTGTTTTGTACTTAGTTTTGGCCCAGCTTTCTAAGGACTGATGCAGACAAGCCGTTTGGGGCAGCACAGAGCCACCCTGGGAAGTGGCGGATCAGGGCTACGGCAACCCTACGCCGCAGCCTCGATCATCCCTTTTGCCACCCCAAAAAGAGCAGTAAAATGCCCCTCTTTTTAGGGGTGGCAAAAAGCCACCCTAAGAGCCAGCACCACGGCTCTTCCATGCCCTTTCAGCGCAGCTTGTTTAAATACTGCACTGGAAGGGCGTCAAGGCGCCACAACCCATGTGCACAGCCATGTGGCATCGGGGTGGGATCGGGGTGGCTGGCATGTGGCTGCCCTGTCCCAACTCTATCTTCAGGCCGGTCTGCAACAGCCCTAAGTTCAGATCTTTTTTAATTTTGATCCTGTCTTCTGGGGTATTAGCTACTCTTCCTAATTTGGTATCATCTGCAAATTTGATAAGCATGCCCCACTATTCTTTCATCCAAGTCATTGATAAAGATGTTGAATAGCACTGGGCCCAGGACAGACACTTGTGACACCCCACTGGTCATGTCTCTCCAGGAGGAAGAGGAGCCATTGCTGAGCACCCTTTTTGTTCGGCCGGTCAACCAATTACAAATCCATTTAACAGTTTTATTGTCTAGCAGCCCACATTTTACTAGCTTGTTTGCAAGAATATCATGGGAGACCTTGTCAGAGGCCTTACTGAAATCAAGATATGCTACATCCACAGCATTCCCTTCATTACAAAGCTGGTAATTTTATCAAAAAAGGTGATAAAATCACATAGCCTGGTATGACGATATAAATTTCTTAAATACGAGCTCTGGGAAAGGCAGGAAACCACCAGCCAATAGATTCAAAATATTGGTTGTTGGGCAGTACTGCCAGAAAGAAAGAAAGGAAACTACCAACTTAACTGAAAATAGCTAAACTACTCACCCAATCGCTCCACCTCCCACACCCATTAAAAACTACAAATATAAAACTATAAATCTATAACATTATGCACAACATCTACATAGCCTAAATAATATGACAAACACAATCAAAATTGACTTCCTACTTCCCTAGTCTTCCTTCTTCTCTAAATAATTTTAACGTTCAATAGGTATGTTTTCTCCAAAATACAGTGGGCCTTTGGTATCCATTGGGGTTTGGTTCCAGGACCCCCTATGGATACCAAATCCATGGACGTTCAAGTCACATTAAATACAATGGATAGCAAAATGGTGTTCCTTATATAAAAAGGCAAAATCAAGGTTTCTTTATACATTTTTTTGAATATTTTTCAAACCATGAATGCTTGAATCCATGGATAAAGAATCCATGGATAGGAGGGCTGAATATAATAACATTTTCCTCTACTTCTGACCTAGCAAAAATAAATAAATTAGCTTTGCAGACTGCTAGAAATAGTGCAAATTGAGTCCACTTTAAGGGTAGGGTTAGAGTTAGGGAACCATTTGAATGTAGTTTATTGTGGCACCAGAGCTCTCTGACAGAGAAGGCTCAATGTCTCAGAAAAAAAACAATTCCCATGATTCCCTAGCACTAACCCTATCCCTTAAAGTGGACTCAATTTGCACTATTTCTAGCAGTCTGCAAAGTCCCACAGTTACTTCCAAACTGTATGTCTACAGCCAGGATCATCTCTTTTTTCTTCTTAATATAAAGCAAAAATAATTCCCAATCTTTTAGAAAATTATCCACTGATTTTTCTTTAATCAGTATCACCAATTTGTCCTTTTCAATCAACTCCAAAATTTTAACAATCCATTCCTCTTCTGTAGGAACATAACTCTGGACACACAAAAATCTTGCTGCTATACTCATATAATGCATCCCTTCGAAATGTATATCTTTACGTTTCTTGTTTTATATACTTAACAAAAACAACTCTGGTCTTAAATCTATTCTACATTTAAAAATAGATTGCATTAATTTTTGTATTTGTCTCCAAAATCCTCTCACTTTATCACATGACCAACACATGCGAAAAGTATTTCTGTCCACCATATTTCCAACATTTGTTTTTAAAACCTTTATAGAGCTAAGGCTGCATTGGCACTACAGAAATAATCCAGGTTGATAACCACTTTCACTGCTGTGGCTTCATGCTATGGAATTCGGGGAACTAAACTACCAAGAACTGTGTGTTATGTGCCTTTTCCGACTTGACAGGATTTGCCAGAATCATGACATCAACTAAAAAGAACTGTTTAGGTGGGAGACATCATTGTCTTAAGCTACATTCTGATCATGGCAAGCAAAGAAAAGAACATGTTTTTGCAAGTAATTTTCTGAAACACGCTCATGAAGACAAAATTCTTTATGAATGATCTTTCCTGGGCAGAACATTTAGTTATCAGCATTGTCCAGAGTATAAATTTAGTTGCTGTAGTTATAAAAACTATATATAACCATTACACAGATATACCTTCTTTTGTTGTTGTTGTTGTTGTTGTTGTTGTTGTGTGCCTTCAAGTCCTTTCCAATTTGTAACAGCCATAAGGCAAACCTATCACAGTTGTTTTAACAAAATTTGTTAAGTGAGGGTTTGCCTTTGCTTTTCTCTGAGGCTGAGAGAGTGTGACTTACCCAAGGTCACTCAGTGGGTTTCCATGGCTGACCAGGGAGTTGGACCCTGTTCTCCAGAGTCATAGTCTAATGCCCAAACCACTGCACCACCCTGGCTCTCATACAGAAATAATTTAGTTTTCTATTGAAATTGCCAATTCATATTATATTTTAATACAAGCACTTGGATGTTATTTCAAACAGATGATGAACCAGATGATGGCGCTCAGTATTATTTCATAGTTTGTGGATTTTACTACCCCCAACTTTTGCCTGTTCTCTCTGATCTTGGGGTCAATATTGGAAGTGTCATTAAAATTTCTTCTGACAATTACGAGCCACTCCAGACCCACATGGAAGCAGTAGCTTCACAAGAGGAAACTCTTCTTGGAGCAGAAGGTGAGCTGGTCACATGCATTTCATATGAATGCAAACATTGTTGTCTATATAGGCTTATAGTGATGCAATGTATTCATAGCATTTTATTGGCTGTTAAAACAAATCCAGGTAATTAAATGTATACCTCAGCTAATGGAGTATGTGTGTTCCTGGGCATTACTTTAACAGGAAACATGGTACCTGAGTCAGAAATAATGTGGTGAAATGAGAGAGAGGTTCCTGTGACAGACCCGTTTTCCCAAACTCTTTATTAAAGCCCTTGGAATCTTGCTGTTCACCCCATAATCCCCTCCTGGGTTGAGTAAGGGCCCTCAGGGTTATTCTTTAAATGTAGGTCTATGGTGAGGGATCTGTGGCCTGATTCCTTACCAGGCTTGAATTAGAGATCCAGAGACAGTTTTAGCAATCAACAAAAATAAGTATAAGTTATACACAGTAAGACAGGGTGATCAGAGGTCCTCCATTTCAACCTTCTTTTCAGGAGAAATTTCAAAATGTCCTCCATTTTGATCATGATGAAGAAGCATTAACTTAATATTTATATTACTGTTTATTAGCTTTTATTTGGTCATGTCCTCCATTTTTCTTGAATGTCCATTTTTCTTTGTGGTGCCTTGTCCTCCTTTGTGGTTATCAGGACATATGTTCACCCTGAAAAAAGATAATGCATGGAGTTTTGAATGTTCTAGTCTTTCGTGCTCCTCAAAACCCAGAGTCAGTTCCATATTCCAGTGGGCCATATTCCAGTGGGCCATCTCTGTCCAATCCACCCATCTCACTCTCTCTCTCAGCACCCAATCCTGTTTCTAAACCATGGTCTCCCAGCCTGCTCCCCACCTGGCTTCTCTCAGAGATGAGTCTGCTATTTTGTTGCAGCCCTTTTCAGCTCCAGCCCAACTTCACAGCCTCCCTGAGCCAACCTCAAACCAAGTATTCCTAGAGCCTCCTGCACATTTTTCCATATGTTAGAAAAAGAACAAGCAGAAATAAAGTGCATTCAAGAAACCCACATTCTAAAACAAAAAGATATAAAATATTTGAGAAACCCCAGATTAGGCCAAAGCTTTATTTCACCAAGATCCAACAAAAAAAGTGGAATAGCTTTATATATTTCAAACTTGATCCCAGCTAAAGAAGTACTAAATGATAATGAGGGAAGATATATTGTGTTAGAAATTAACTATGAAAATAATCTAATGTTAGGAATTGGAATCTCTGGTCCATTAACAAACAAGGCACAAATCTAAAAAAAAAAAAAAAATAACTCAAACAATTTTGAATCTAGAATATGAACATTTTGTGATTATAGAAGATTTGAATGGGGTCATGAACCCCTCAATAGATAGAACAACTAAAAAATAAAAGAAAAAAAAATAAAGGAAAATTACCACAAACATTTTTCAACATGGTGGAAATCTAGTATTAATTGATCCCTGGAGACAGAAATGGAGATGCCAAAGAATTTAATTTCTATTCAGAACCATATAAATACTAAATAATTGATTGGTTCCTGATATCAAAAGATATGTATAAAAACATTTAAAAAGTTGATATTCTCCCAAAGAAATTTCAGATCACAATCTGATAATGTTAGAATTTTAAAAAGCAAGGAAGGACTTCTCTTGGAGAATGAATGAACATCTGTTAAATGATCAACAGATAATAAATGAGGCTAAGAAACAACTCAAATTATATTTTCAAGAAAATATGGACAATGAAATTAAGATGAAGACTGTTTGGGATGCCAGTAAGGCAATAATGCAAGATATCTTCACTAAAAAGAATAGCGAGTGGGGGAAAAAAAGAAAGCTTTAAAAATACAAGAACACTACAAATTAGAAATAAAGAGAAAGAACTTTTGGAGAAATCTGACAAACAAAAAATCAATAAAGAGATAAAATTATTACAGAAACAACTATTGGAAATAACTATGGAAGAGATTGAAAAGAAATTAAAATATATGAAACAAAAACATTTTGAATTTGGAAATAAAATGGGGAAGCTGTTAGCGTATAAGTTAAGGGGAAAAAAAGAAGTTGATTTTGGAAATGAAAGAAGGGATAAGGATAATAAAAGTTCAAAAGGATATCCTAAAAAGTATTTGAAAAATACTTTAATATTATCTTCAAAAAGAGGAATGATGATAAAGATTTTAACACAAAAATTAAAAGATTGTATTCAGAAACAAAAACTACCTGTTATAAAAAAAAGAACACAGGGACTTTTAAAATCAAGAAATCACAATTATGGAAATAGTAGAAGGTATAAAAGTAGTAAAAAAATGGGAAAGTGCCTGGTCCAGATGGTTTCACTGCTTTATATTATTAGATTTTTGAGGATGAATTTTTATTGCCGCTTCAAAGGACTTTGAAGGAAATCAAAAATGAAGGGATACTAGAAACATAGACCCAAGCTAACATTACCTTAATTCCAAAGGAAGATAAAGATCTTTCTTACCAGCAGAATTATAGATCAGTATCTCTCCTAAATATAATTATATAATATTCACCACAATTCTTGCTAAAAGATTAAGAACAGTCTTAAAAGAAACAATTCACGAAGACCAATGTAGTTTTCTCCCACACAAGCAAATAAAACAGAATATAAGAAGAGTTGTTGATATAATTGAATTTTGTGACAAGAACCCAGGAAAAAAACTAGCTATGCTGTGTGTGGATGCAGAAAAGGCCTTTGATATGTTGAATTGGGGATATATGATAGAATGAATGGGAAAAAATAGATATGGTAGAGAATTTCATTGGTTGGATACAACAAGTTTATAAAAAACAGAATGCCCATATAATAGTAAATGGAGAAAAAATGGGAAGATGTGAAATATCAAAAGGAATGAGACAGGGATGCCCACTATCTCCACTGCTATTTATCCTCTGCCTGGGAACACTATGTGAAAAAATAAGAATGGAAAAAAATTGGGGAGGCATATCCATAAAAGGTGCAGAATTCAAGATAAAAGTATATGCTGATGATGTCCTGATATTCTTTAAAGCAGGGGTAGGTAACCTTTCCCCTTTAAGGGCCGAGGGACTTTAGCTCCCAGAAGCCTCAGCCACGTTGGCCAATAGTCCCATGTTGGCCAATAGCTCCTGGGATTCTGGGAGCTGAAGTCCCTCGGCCTTTAAAGGGGAAAGGTTGCCTACCCCTGCTTTAAAGACTCAATAGAAATGATGACTTAAGTTACTAGAAATAATGAAAGAATATGGACAATTTGCATGATTCGAAATCAATGAGAAAAAAATCAGTAATAATGACAATGTGACTAAGAATGAAGAAAAAGAACTTAAAAGAAAATCAGGTTTCTAAATTACAAAAAATACTTGGGAATTATCTTGCAGGGGGATTCAAAACTATACGACAATAACTATATTACTTTATGGAAGGAAATAAAGAAGAAAATGGAAAGATGGTCTAATCTAAATCTTTCACTGTCTGGGAGAATTGTAGCAGTTAAAATGAACATCCTTCCTAAGTTTATGTTCCAGTTTCAAAACTTACCAATTATATTGAACAATGGCACCTCTTGAACAATGGAATAAAGAAATTCTGAAATTTATCTGGGTGGGGGAAAAGCCAAGAAGCAAATGGAAAGTGTTGTAAGAAAGAAAGAGAAGGACTAGGTGTACCTGATCTTAAGATATACTACCATGCATGCTCTTTAGAATGGTTAAGTGAATGGATCCAATTGAGATAAGAAACTATTGATCCTTGGGGGTGGGTTCAACCGCAGATTTGGATGACATGCATATTTGTGTTATAATTAAGTAGAAGCAAACAGAGACTTTAAAGACCACATAATCAGACATTCCCTTTTGAGAATGATTTGTTCTGTTATCAGAGCTGTTAATATGTCCATATTCTTAATTTCCCTTAATTTTATTAGCCATTCTTCTATACTCAGTGTTTCAGTTTTTTTCCAGTACCTTGCATATGTTATTCTAGCTGTGGTACCTGTGGTAACTAGCTTTGGTAAGCATCAAGGCTCATTCCACCATATGTGCTGGAAATGTGAGGTAGTGACAAGCTATTGGAGAAAATTCATGAAATAATAACAGAAACATTATAAGTAAATATACCATTTGAACCAGAATTGTACCTGTTAAATATGATTTCAGATGCTGAAAAGGAATTAAAGATACGGAGGAATTAAAAGGAAAAGGAATTAAAAATAACAATATACGATTATGTCTTTTCTTTAATTCCAACACATTGTTTTACCTGTATTGTACATTGCATTCAGTTTCTTTGGTGTCATGTACCATCGATATATCATTTTTATAAAAATTTCTTTAAGGTCTTGACACAGTGTGAATTTGTGTTATTTATGTTATGCATTTATGTTACGTATGTTTTCCCACTTATCCAGTTCAATATTTTTCCCTATGTCCTGAGCCCAGGTGATCATTATATGTTTCCCTGTTTCATTTTCCAAATTTCTTTCATTAAGCGCCTTATAATATCTTGCTATTTGGTGTCCTTCTTTATCCTCAATAATTTTATCTAATTCTGTTTTGTTTTTTCAAATCCTATCTTCTTATCTATGTTAAAAACTTTCATTTAATTACATGTACAATAGCCAGTTGTTGATCTTTCCTTCTTGTTCCAGTTGTTCTTTAATCTTGATATTCTTTGTTGTTTTCTTTGCCTTGTACTTGTTCCAAAATATCATGATATCTAACCCAAGCTTTTCTCTCTCTTTTAAT